CATGCAGATGAATAAAAATACGGCACATACACCAAAATAACATAATTTTCAATTTTTGTCTGTCTGTCTGTTTGTTCCGGCTAATCTCTGTAATGGCTAGACCGATTATTTTAGAGAAATTCTCTATTGAACTTTTTTGTTAAATTTCACGCGGACGAAGTCGCAGGTACAGCTAGTCAGTCATATATAACGCTACAGTGGTGAGAATCACCATCGCGCTACACCACTTACTGGTGAACCGTCAATTTATTTACCAAGGAGGTTTAAAAATACAATGCTTCATAAAAATAATACTAAAAACCTAACATTCCTAATGAGTACTTTAGTATTCTTTATCTACGAGTATGTGCTTCTAAATCTATATGAAGTATTTTCGTTGTTTTTGTTATCAGCGTGAAGCGAATCTTAATTGATTCCATTGAGTAGGAATTATTTCTATGGCTGTATAAACTCATTACCGTGCACCATATTAATGCCGTGATAAAGTTATTACACTATGGCACCATGACGTACTCATTAACTGGGATCAAATTTTGATGGCTCGCCAAACTTATAGGCACCTAGTCTTAATCTCAATCCTTACTAATATTATAAAACTAAAGTAACTCTATCTGTCTATCTCGCTTTCACGCCAAAAGTACTGAATTGATTTAAATAAAATTAGTCACAGATAAAGAATAGTATCCTTTCTCAAGATCTAGACTATTTGTTTATTTCACTACTTTTTCATTCGAAAAGAGGGTTGTAAGGGATTGAAAGCTGAGATGAAAGTTTATATGTATGTATTATCATTTTTAAATTTAGGAGGTTGAATTTTAATTTTTAGGATGTTGATTAAATATTAAGTAAATATGACATTCAAAGTTTGTGAAAATGTTACTCTTAAGGCGGTAAAATATAAGAGAGGATAAAAGGTTGTATGGAAAATCGTCATTTTTTAAGCAAGATCTATGGATCTTTTTTCATTGCCTTTTTGCAAAAGTTTGTATGTAATGGATAGATGTATGGATATTTGATACTCTTTCATGCTTAAAATACTGAACGGATTTTTATTAAACTTTACAATAATATAGCTTACATATCAGAATAATACAAAGGCTATAAATTTCATACGGACAAAACAGCGAGCACAGCTAGTTACTAATAAAACTGCAAACTTAGATTCATGCATTATGAAAATTACTAAGAACCTAACAAACTATATATATATGTGTGCAGTAGATTGCTTCCATTAATACAATGTTGAAAAACTACTCACTTTAAATGGCTTTACTCCCATTTGCTAGGAAATTGCTTCTCGACTCTTTCACGTATGCTACGATATAACACGCTAGCAATTTCCAACACTATCACAATAAAAATTAGTACCTGACTAGGTCACTGGAGGCATTATTTTACTCGATACTAGCGAACCGCCCCGACTTTGAATGTAATTGGATATCAAAATAAATAAGTAAATTACTAGATGTTCCGCGATGATTTTGCCTGCGTGAAATTTCTAACCTATGTGCTATTCTGATGTACCTGTAAGCTATATTACTGTAAAATTTAATTAAAATCAGTTCGGTAGTTTTTGAGTGAAAGAGTAACTCCATCCATACTCACAAACTTTTACGTTTATAATATTATAAGTAGGAAGTAGTACTAGATACACAAAATATAATATGTTATGTATGTAGGCCTAATAAACTAAAGACGTATGTAGTAATAATACGTAGAACTGTTTACCAAAAATGTTTCGTTACTATTATAATTTTTATTCTACTTGTAAATGAAAATGGTACGAATAATTTTAAAGAGCAATTTTCATGTATGTAATCTATATTGATTGTAATGCTATTTTTTAACTTTATTAGTTGAATAAAGATTAATAGTAATATGATTATACGAATGTCATCTTTCTATTCTGGTGATTCAGGCGTCCATAGGCCACGGCTAGGATTTACCATCAGAGGGGTCACATACTTGTTTGCCACCATCGTAGTATAAAAAAATCTACCCATGCCTTGTAATGGGAGATTTTTGTGATATTTTATGTATCATCAAAATTTATCTTCTTGTGATGAGACAGCCGAATGAGCGGTAGATTAAAAAAATGTAATGACTATTCAAAAGTGCTTCAATGTAAGTTTATTTGAATAAATGATTTCTATTCTATTCTATTCTACCACGCTATTATCAAAATAGAGCACGTTAAATAATTATTCGCTTTTATTTCTACATCCTCTGACATCTTGGGTCACCTATTTAGATATATTTCATTACTTGTTCGTGCGGTTACATCTAAATCTACAATTTAAAAAAAAACTCATTTTTCTCCTTTAAAAAGGACCTTATCCAAACGATATGATATCTATTGTTTAGAACAAGTGAAAGGCATTTTAAGAAAACACACAACAATATATGCTTTCTAAATATAAACTTATTGGCAATAATTTTAAGGTTATGTAAAAAACGGATTAAAGGAATACTGATTCAAAAGATAATCATAATGGAATAAAGATTATTCCTTTTCTATTTCATAAATGTTCTATTGCCTTCTATCGGTAAACAAATAATGGCCCAGTCACATGTCATCGTGCTGTATAAGGCTTCAGCTAAACACATTAGAGTACGACACGACCTCGCCTGGAGCCAATGCCGCGTCCATCTTTGATTTATATTGCTATCCACAATATGGGATGATTCAGATTAAATGAAAACCTATACGTTTTATTTTACGACTTATTTTTCTATATTCATTAATATAAATTTGTTATGTCAATAAATTAACTAATCCAAATAATATTCAGACTTATATTACAGTAGTTTACACCATGATTTAGACCGTAAAATTGTTAAAAAATATACATTAATATTGGATCATGTTATTTTTTTATGCTGTAAAAAAACACGATGAGTGATTACCGTCACCCGCAACACCAGGGGAATTGAAAGTGCGTCACCGGCCTTTTAAGAAGTAATAAGCTCTTATCTTGAAGGTTACAATATTATATCAGATCGGAAATACACATTATTATGTGAAAAATGTAATCTTTTTGCAATAGTATGAATTGCATTGCAATATTACCAGTTTGTGAACGAATCGTTTCAGATCCGGTGCGCAGCAAAACATGAAACTCGTGTTGTTCTGCTGATATGTCACGGATTCTGCTACATTACTCATGATATTTTTAAAAAATATTAGCACAGCTATTAGGTACAGAATTTTACTTAACAAACAAAGTGTGTTTTGGTATCGTATATATTCACAAACAGAGAGCTTAGCCGAATATTCGGTGTTTGACCAAAATCAATATTATACGAATACATATTCGATTATGAATAGCATATACAATTTCCGTTATGCACATTATGCACTAGTACCAGTGTACACTACTCTTAGATAAAACCAATAGCAATAAACCTTTTAATCATTACATAACATGTTAATAATAAGACTATGTTATGTTCTTATAACCTATTTAAAATTCAACTGACAACTTACCTATTTTTTTGATACATGATATAAATTATTCATAGAACCAGATTAATCTGGTTCTTGTTTAAATTAAATTCTGGTTTCAGTCATAAATTAATAAATATTCATTTTATTATCATATTCTGGACTATATTATCGTTTACATGTTGTAGGTTGAAGAGGGACATTATTGGTAAAGCAGTAACGCTGGTTCATACTACAATTGGATTGAATTGAATTTGAGATAGATAGGCGCTTGCTAGTAATGGGTTCAATATTCTATTATATATATTACCAATATTATTTAATGATTGGAATTTTTAATATTATTTAATTGTATAGTAATTTTTTGTTTAATACTTAGAATTGTATAAGTTATATTAAAGTTTCGTGAAAATCCGTTCAGTTCAGTTATTGCGTTGTAATGATATTTATGACTGTATATTAAATATTTTTTTACTTTTTCATTTTTATTGTACTTCTAACTTGTAAATGAAAATTCTGGTAGGAATAATTTAAAGTGCAATTTCCATATGTAGTAGTTTCTTGTATAATTTTCTTCAATTATATAAAATTAGTATTATACTTGTATTACCTAATTAATATTTATATTTATAGGGTAGTTTGCTTGTAATGATCCCTCTCGTTGATGAACGTCAACTCTGTATTCTCTGTAAAATCGTGGGTATTTGATAGAGCTAAATCGTCTGATCACCCTCGTCAACAAGCAACATGAGGTCCCATCACCATTGCTAATTGTTTCGTCAAAACGATCATAAAATAATGTCTGTTTTCTTTTAACAAAAATATGTTTCAGGAAACATTTTATATAATGGAGAATAAAAATAAAAATCATAAAATAATTTTTATATTTTCAAATATATTGGCAGTCGGAGTGGTTATAATAATAATATCAACATTGACATAATGTTCACTCGTGCATGTACTTGAAACCACCCAAACATCTTTGGGTTAAGTAGATAATAAACACTAATACAGATAACAAGAGAGTCTAGTTTATTACAAAGTACTTACATTAGTAAGTACTTTGCTATAACAATAATTAAATGCTTTAGAACACTATAAAATACTTACAGCGATTCGGTATAAACTATTAAGATACAATACTTATATGATATTCAATTATAATTGTAAAAAAATACTGCCCTTAAGCCGAGTTCAGACTTCTGTAAGATATTTGTAACATAACTTATTTTGTAATTCAAGACTAGATACACAGTGTCATTTGGTTGCATACTAGGCAGGGCTTGTGCTATAGCCACTAAATGATAAAAATACTAAAATACATTGTTTTTGTAAAGATCTTTATAAATACTAGACCAATACACACAATTATACTATTAAATATAACTGTTTGTATCGTGCCAGAATCCAACCGACGACCACTAGTAAGGTGAGGTTACCAATAAACAACTGCGGTAAATGCCTTTAGAATGTTTAGTACGTATTACAGTTACATGTAATTCCCGTAGTGTAGTAATGCTACCTTATGTTGCAACAGTCTGAACACTGCTTAAGATAGGACGAAATATTAATTAAACTTTTCTATAATACATAAAAAAGTTGAAAACTGAGTGGTTATTATGAACTGTAGCGATCGATTTATTCTCCTTTTTTATTCTTTGTTTTTGTTGTAAATGAAAAAGTTAAACCAAATCACCGCTACAATCCAATGTTTAAAAATACAATATGACCATTAATTTAAATAAAAAAGTACAATCGAAGATTACAATAACAATCTGTGACCATTACGTCGTTCATCTCAAATATCTTTTGTCTTAGCCATATTATTATTTGAGATTGCCTCTTCTATAGCAATGCCAATTCACGAAGTAAATTATTGAACAGAAATTAACTTCCAGCGAAATGGCACTTGCTTACAAAAAAATTTAAGAAATATAAAGCACCTAAATATTGTGCGTCAAACGCTATAAAACTAAATAATTATTTACAGATTCCTTTGCCGCCATTTTTTTTTCCAATTTGACAGTCATGACGATGCATCCATTCCATTAATAATTTTCGTTACATATTTTTTTTATAAACGTTTTGTATATATTTTTTATATTTTAGTAATGACAGCGAAGGATGTCTTGCGTTTTGAACGCAGGTTCAGTCACGCTCTAAACCTAGGTTTACACTTAACAATATCAAAAGCCAAGATGAATAAGAAACATAGCAATCGACCAGTCTTTGCTAACAATAAAGTAAAATATAATATCTTGGCCAGTTACTTCACTGAAAACTAATGCTCACAATATTTTTCAGTATCACTTCGGTGTTGGACATAAAAAATTTCAGAATACTTAGTAAAAAAAAATTTGATTAGCGGGTAATTATATGGTTATAAATATCTTTAAAGAATACTGTTTTGTCTGTAATATATAAAAATTTCATTATTTATTTATGGCATTTATATAGTTTATTTAATATTTTTTTGTTATATTATTGATTTCGATTCGGACGCTTTCCATAGCTCACCCACTGTTACTTACAGTCTTTGCTAGCATTTTTTAAAACATTACCTTTTGAACAATAAAGACATAATTGTGATATTATGATTTTGTCTTTCGGTTATTTTTTTTATTGACATATATATATGCCTACTTCATATATATTTTAACAACAGTTTTAATTTCTTAAATAACAGTATACATAAATAGGAATTTGTAGAACAACAATTGTAACAGTATTCATAGAAAATTGGTCAAAACTGCATCAAAAGGCAGCTCCGTTTTATACTTGAACTATACGAATTAAATTCTGAAAACTGACTTCGACGCCAGTAAACCCTTATTTCTGTCGGACAATAGTAATCATTACAAAAATAATAAATGCATTAGTTTCCAGTTACTTCACAACCTTAACCTAATTAGAGATCCATACTGAAGGTTTCCTGTGACTCATCAAAGGATATGGAATTCGAGCGCGCATTCTTCTGCGCGGGCGCCGCCTGCGTGTGTGGGACAGAACCGGGGTTCTTCAATAGCGCAGCGGGTAGTGAACACTTCGGTGGGGTTTGTGATATGGGAGATTGTCTTAAAGACATCATAAATGACCGCTCGTACACGATCCTTGTACCTGAAACATAAGGGTTTACCCATTATAATAACTAGTAGATACATATGTTATTAGAATATAGGTAGTATGTATTATTATCGTGCTGAAGACAGTCCTATCTTCCGATGGTTGTTTTTTTTATGGATGATAACGGAATGGTGCACCCGCCTTCGCTAACGGATTACGCTGGTGGGGCTCCAGTGGAGGATGATAATATGAACATGAGGTCAGGTCAGTTAGTCCATCGTACATATTCACCAAGAATTTATCACGATGGTTTCCAGGGGGAACCGCGTGGAGGTCAACCTGAGATGGTTCCGATAGTTGTTCGATTTCCGCATAATGCATTCATTATTGATTTCTATAGATGTTTGTACTCGTCATAGAGTTTTCTATGTTTTATTTATAGGGGGTAGGACTTTTTAAATCCAAAATCAGGTCTACTTTCATGGACACCATCGTTGTTAGTTCATGGCGAATCTCGCCTACATGGACTAAGTGTATTGACTTCTAAAGATATCAAAAGCGTATTTAAGTATTAGTTTTCTAAATCCCATACAACCAGTTACTTAATACAAGTAAGTAATATTAGTGAATTATGTCTTTATTTATATATTTCATTTAAATTATCCATTCAAATAAAATAACTATTTATAACAATAAACAATTGCTTATTCATAAATCTTCATATCATAACAATTTTACCCTTTATATATAAATCTACCGTTATGCCAACAAAAACACTATTTACAATAACAATGTAACAAAAAACAGACTAACTAACTATATTGTTTATCAAACCGTCAATGAATCACCATCGGCAATTCATGAATGAAAAGATTTCATAGATATCCATTGGCAAATAGTTTCATATTTTTTTAGAGTCATTGTTATTATACTACTTTATAAGCCGTAGTTAGTTTGCAAGATAATAATATTTTGTGTATAGTCACCATAACAAAAAAACGAAAAATCTATCGCAGTCACGATTACAATTATTTTTTCTTTGTTTTCATAGAAAATGAGATACTAAAACTAAATGGTATCACAGTTTTATACAAATGTTATTTTGTTTAAATTTATATTTTCACGTAATTTCCATAGTTATTTAGCAGATATAAGTATGTTTTTTTCGTTCAGATTCGAATTTAGTATATTTGGATATACTTTTTTGGATTACAAAACTTTGTAATATCATAAACGTCTACTAAGTAACCGTAAGTAGGAGCATTATACCCATTTGCAAGCTTCTCATGTTTATTTCCGTTGTCCACGTTTTCCTCAGACACTGGTCTATTTATATTCGACAAATTAAATAAACATCACAACACAAGTGTTTACGCCATGATTTATTTGATTTGCAATCCAAAACATGCGGACGATTTGTTTTCATTTTATTTCAAAATAGTTTTACCGTCCCTATACCAACATAGATTACACGTGCTCTAACAATCATAAATTGACAAATATTTATACTGAAATAAATGCAATTTCTTTTGCAAAATGTAACTCAATAATATGTTAATATGATAAATACAAAAATTTGTCTATATATACCTAGTTTTTCAAGACCAACAGATATTATTAACTGATGAACATACTTATATGTATAAATCTTTTTCTTTGTCTTCATTACTTATGATACTTTATTATTAAAAATGGCCTATCTATGTTACTTAATATTTACTTAAATATATTTCGACTAATTAATTGATATGAAATAAACTTAATGTTGATATTAGACTTCTAAATTATTTGTCACTTCATTAAATTGAAGACTTGAATAATATTTTCAAAGTAAATTTGAAATCATATAAAATATAAATTTCATTAATTTCAAATAGACTTATGTGATTTTTTCATACTCGATAAGGTATAGAGTAAAAATACTATTTTATTATTATTTAACTACATTATTGAATTTTTAAGTATATACTTGGTAAATAGGTATGATGTATATGTATAAGAATCCGTACTGCAAACAAATCAAGATTATGATACACCAAAGGTTTTTCATACATACCTTTTGTTATCAAACAAAAAATATTATAAGATACGTACTATTACCCGCTACTTCGCTTGCACAAACTTTCATCCCCTATTAACCCACTTCCAGATTGTTTTTTTAAATAAAATATAGCGTATGTCCTTTCTCGTGGTACAATTTATCTTCAAGCCAAATTTTATTAAAAGTTCTCAGCTGTTGAGTCGATAAAAGGTAACAAACAAACAGGCAGAAATAACAGACAGACACACTTTCGTATTTATAATAATAATAACAATAATACAAGCAGTGCGAGGAATCGAACCAGCAACCATTGGAAGTAAGGCTCTGTGCTAAATCACTAGACCACCGAGGCCGTCTATAACATAGTATACTAGTAGAAGTACTCATCCCGCCAGAGTGCGACCGTTAGCGCAGGCAATTCCATTATCATAATATGAAAATATATATAGATTAATATATAATATGTATGAATATGGATTGAGTCAAGTCCTCGAACACATGCCAACCTCTATAAACAGGACTACTTCCTTATTTTGTATTTACATGCAAATATCGTTGCTATTATTGCGTGACCATAACCAATATTCACAGCTCTGCATCTAATCTAATTTGAGTGGATAGTTCATTTGATTATATATTCATGTTGATTTTATATCAACACTACATTACTTTGTTGCTATTTTTTACAAAAAAAATCCTTGTGATAATATTTATCTTCACATCTTTCACTATGATCCACTCAGCTGTTTGCTGGTGACAAGATAACAAATAATAATAAAATTAACAATTAGGAAAGAAATGTGTACCCATTTTATTGGGTTTTACTGTACATTGGGGTAGAGTTACATGATTGTTTTGAGTTATTAAATAAAACAAATAATGGCTTTTAAAATACTACACCAATTTCGGTGTATTAAAGGCCAATTTTGATCAAACAGCATTCAATGGAATTATTTCGTAAAAGCAGTTTAAACTAATCCCAAAAAAGTGGACGTCGTGTTAAGGGACGGATACCGCAGCAGGTAAAATTCCTACGCATCTGTGGAATAGGTTTTTTTTCTACACATAGATAGCTGAGAAGCATGTGTTCATAATTCATCACTGATTATTATTAATTCATAGAGACTGCACTGTTTAAATATTTATTTTATAAATTTAATATATAACAACGTGTTCTTGAAACTATGAATAAAACGACATAAGATATAATAGTAAACTTACTGGTTACGGAGAAATAACATGTATGTACTACTTTAAAGTAAACAAATTTATTATGATACAACAAAGACTTTATACACTTACATAACATTTCGATTACCTAAAGTAAAAATTGAATAATCATACTCGTTCTAAATTAACGAAAATATTGTCAAACTACGCATAATAAAAATGCAGTCAAGTTAAGAAAATATCTCGTTATTGTTGTTTTTAATTATTTTAAAGTATGTTAATATAATTAATGTTGATTCGTAATATTTTAATAATATAAACATATACATTAATCTTTACAGCGCTGTCAGCAATGCAAACAGCTTAGCATGGCTTTAGCACATTCTAGATCGAGATACGTTTGCATTATTTATTATTCCGATGCCATGCGGTGCGTTACGTAATAGTCTATTCAACACAAACACTACTAACCTTGTTTATTTCAGATAACACCACGCATATCGAATGGCTGTACCTACAGCGATACAGCCGGCATGTGTGCCTACTTGTATTGTTAGCAATCTGCCGTGACAGCTGATAACTCGGCTATTCACCGAGCTTAGCAACTATTTTTTATCATTATAATATAATATTCATCCAAATTCTTATCAAATAGAACACAAAGTGTCAATCTTACAAGTTCGTACCTAATATAGATACCATAAATAATCTTTGTAACTACTCACATGTCATAGATTTACTATGTTAGATATTTAAATTTAAAATTGGAATTCCACATTTAATAAAATTATGTTACAAATCCATAAAGAAATCTTTCCGACAAAAGTATATTAATTTTGGTAGCGTGGCTTTAGATCATAGAACAAAAAAAAAACGAAAAGAGATGTACAGACAATATGAACTATAATAATAGAATTTATTATGCGTTAATAAAAACAACTGCGTCAATTCATTAACACGATACAGAATTAATGTTGATAAAGTAATTAAAAGGTTTTTATACCACGTGTTGTGATGCAAAGCAAACTACGCAGAATAGATAAAGTTCGTTGTCACGTCGGTGTTCATGTCTAAATATACACGACGGTGATTCGTATAATTTTTATTAACCCCAGTAACTGGAGGTTACATAGATTAGACTGACAATTTAGATACTAATTAGATGAAACTAACTGCAACCGGATTGAACTAGTGCTGTTTATTTCAATCATAAATAGGTGTCACATCACTGTGATTGCCGACTCTAAATTTTATTTTTTAATGTTAACATTTATTAGACATGGGAAAACAAAAATATTTTTTTTCTTATATTGATATATTATTAGTTTATGTTTCTAAATAGAAAATAAGATACTTTATTAAGATTCATTTATTTATATTTATGTTAGTTATTCACCTATCTCACACACTTATTTTCTTTCTCTTTGAATCGGATTGCTATTGGTATACGATGGTATTATTAATTTGAAAGGCACGCCATGACAATCCTATAACCGGTAATGCACAAACCAGTTTCTAAAGTAATTTACTTACGTAATTTAAACTTTAAACTAAGTTTTGTTGTTCTCTTATGTTTTCTCGTAATTCTAATCATATACAAATAAAATATATATTAGATTTTCTGGATATTCTCACCTCCTGGTGTGGTAGAGTAAAGAGTGCCACCTGGGGTACTTGAGTATACATCAGGCAACTGCGTAGGGTCCGTAATGAGCACCCTCCTTGATGGGATGGCCTGGCTGTGAGTAGCTTGTCTTGCAATTGGTGACGCCGACATTTTCAACTTTATACCTGAATTGTAGAGTTCAATTTTCACAATCACTTTCACTGTTGGTCGGACGGGAAGACAAGAAGGACTGAGTCGGGTGTAGCCGGTGCCTAAAATAAATACGTACGCCGGCTGTACACTCACACATCGATGTGCTGTAGTGTAAATACGACACACATAGCCGCGTCACATCAAAACATACATAGAATAATAAAACAGATGCGTTGTTTACTAATAATATTTATTATTATATTTATACAAGATTTCTGTTGACACCCGAACTATTCTACAATATGTCATCAAATTGGACTGCAATGCTCTAACAATTACGTAACAGGACTACGTAATAATACGACTACCTTCGCTAACGGTATCAGCTGATGGGGCACCAGTGGAGGATAATAGTATAACCGTAAAATCAGCTCAGTTAGCCCATCATGACAAATTCACAATAATAAGCGGGAACTAAAAGAACGCACCTCGAGTACACGTCTACAAGAGAGGGGACAACTGAAAAATCCCTTCATAAAACTGCCTAGTTAGCATTGAATTAGTAAGTAGTCCAATAACGACACGATACGGGATTATCATTATGATTCTGTTCAAAAATATTGTAAAATTGGGATATTTGGTATTCAATTACAAATAATACTTCTGTAATATATTTTACTCTTTGACAGTATAAACGCTACATCCTAATGTATACATTTCTCACACATATATGCCACGTATAATCTTGCGTAGTTTGTACAAAGTTTAAAACAGTAGCCGATATGGCGACCACTGTTTATTTACGAACTTTTATTAAATCTATCGAATCAATGCACAGGCGGAAGACCTTCATTATCAATCTATTCCAACATAACAACAACAAAAATATTATTCGAAATATACAGCATAATCATTATCAATTCAAACAAAAACAAAGTGGAATATTGGGCATGGCATGACATCATTATGGTACATGAGCTACTTATAATACGCGACACTGAAATCGATAGTTCTTTTAGTTGTGTAGGTTCACAGCTAAGAATAGATATTTTATTAGGTATTGACATTTGACCTTATTTTATCAGAAGTAAAACTAAAACATATTTGTTTATGATAGTTTTAATCTATGTATGATCACAATCAAACTTCTATGTGAGCGAGTGTAAAACTCTTTATAAACAATGTATTCGCAAATCATATATAACTTTACAAAACTTAAGTTGTTAGTGTATTTTATGAACATAATTGACACCCAAAGTCGATTATATACCACCATTAGAAAAATGAACTTCCTATGTACATTTTTTGTTTCTATTACGAGATGAGAGACTCTCAATATCGTATATTAATTAGAAATGTGTTTAAACTCAACGTTCTATATTTTTTTAGGAATGCATTTTTTATCGCCATGATTACAATAGAATCTATTATCTATCGTCGATTCTTAAAGTTAGCACAGTGATGCCCACGACAAAAAATAGTATCGACTCTATTTTAATATAATTGTCTTTTGTAATTTTGAAAACTCATATTCCTTAATCCAATACTTGTCTCTATGCATATTAAACAGTGCTCATGACAATAAAAAATAATGCAAGTTCTTTTTTTAATACTTTACAGTGAATCAAAACCCGACTATAGTTTTGAAAGTTCTAGAACTGACCATTTCACTCTAGAGTGTCAGACTCTTGGCACAAAAAATGCTAATAATATGAATTACAAACAAGTTAAATTAATAGTTTTATCAGGGAATTCAAGCTAGAAACTTACTTTACTTCCATTAAGTTAACTACTAAATTTAATGAAATGAACTGAAAATCGAATCATTAAAATGTTTGTCACTTTGACGCGTAAATGTTTTACTGTTTTTTTATTACTCTTTTGTTTTGCGTTGTATATAAATCGGCCAAAACAATATCGAGAATTACAAGGACATGAAAATTGTTTTTGCACTTGACTTGTTATTTATTATTAAGTTTAACCCTTTAGTAATAATGACATAGGTAATTTTCATGTAATAACTTTACCAACATAATCCAAGTTTCTGAAATAGAAGTGTATTAATTATATTGCTAAAGTCTTATTTATAACTATATTCATTGCTTTTTATTTCTAAACAACGACCGTGCAAATTTTGTTACTCATCATTACATAGTATAAAACAAAGACGCTATCTCTGTCTGTCCGTTCCTATGTAGGCTTAAATCTTTAAATAGTTTTTCGTAGTGCAACGGATTTTGAAAAATCCTTACCTATACGAAAAGTCCAATAATAAAACTATATATCTACAATTTATAATTTTACTTGCCTATAGCAGGCACAGTAGGGTAGTGGTATTCAATTATCATAAAATGAGCTGTATGTTCGTTTATCGCTTAATAAAAGGAAAGGAGGCAATCCATCTCTAGTCTGTTATATTAACAAGGACCTAATGCTAATTTTATAGCGCTGTATTTCGCATTAAAACCTAATAAAATATGTCCTTTATGCTTTACAGTGTTTTTACTATTAGTTACTTAAGCATCAAGTTTGCCTTGCTTGTATGATGGCACCATATACAATATACCTAGTAAGTACGGTATTTTCCATATATATTTACAAAATCTTAAAAATACCTGCATTTGCGTTATGCGCCTCCTTTATTTTGAAGTATTATTCAAATACACGTGTACTTTCGCAACTTCTTATCCCATATGGAATAATCAGCGGTATTATCGGCAACGAGACATCCTGGTGAACGTGCACAGTTATTTATATAATTTTTTATTGCTCTTTCCATGACATAATCAAAAATATTTATTGTTACACCTAGTTTATGGGTGTCGCCCAGATTCAAACTCAGAACTTTCTGAGTCGGTGATAAGTCGTAGTAACCACTAAGCCACAACCACGACTCAATCAGCTAATAATATAAGTACAATCTAATTTGATAGCATACAATTATTTCTCATACACTTCACTACATGTACCCACTATGTGAACCTTGCCCGGTTTATAAAATCTGATTTTAAAGTAGATAACCTTCAGATAGCTGTTATCACTGTAGGCCAGACTTATATTAATAAGATAATAAAATATGTAAATAATAAAATTTATAAAGTAGTACGTAGAAAAATTGTTTAAGTAAACTTTATTTTTTGTTCGTTACCGTAAATATGTTATGCTGTAACTGTAACCGAAACTATTGGATATTCGATATAAAAAAATATTCGTAACCGTCTGATAGCGGCGGAACCTAATTGAGACTGATTGTAATTCCTACTGAATGTTGACATATAAATAAAACCATTTTATTAGCTATTTGTATTTTACTTTTTACTGAAATTCTTTAAAAAATTCGTTTACGTAACCGTAATTATTCGAAACTAACGGATGATCCGAATAATTTAATACCCGTATTCGGTATAATAATCATTCCTATATCCGAAACCTATCCGTATCCGAAATTTCATATCCATAACATCCCTGGTAAATACATGTATAACACCACGGACATCACGTTATCATGTGATACAACTCGTGCGTTGCCATTACAAAGGAATCAAATGCCTATAATTTCACTGCAATATCTGACCCTCCAATCGAAATACGACTCATATAGCAAGCTGTTGGGTGGTTGAAGTATGCGAGACAGAGGGTAAAGGATTTTGGTTTAGTAATGTGGATTAATAAAAACATTTCATTAAAATCTATTATAAAAAAATATGCGAGACAGAAGTGCCCATGCAGACAACTGTGTACAAAGTCTTCCACTGGCATGCGTCCTTTAAACTTTATTTTTTTATGTGTGCCAATTAATAACGTATACCTAAGTATATTTTTATTCATTATCTTATCCCATTTTTTTTTTGCATCCATCCCTGTTCGCAGTCATCACTTTTTCGGCCGTCCTCTGCCCTTATACCCATCCACATTCATATGTAACACATTTTGTATAGTTATTTAATAAATTCATGTTATTAGTTGACGACAAATTGCTTATCTTTCTTTCCACTAGAAGTGCCATTTCCAGCGACGTAGATAATTTTGAAATCGATCTTCACGCAGTTTTATTTTCCTTCTTTACACATGTCTTATGTCGTTCTGAAAATGATATTAATGATGACTCATTGTTCTTCTTACTCCGTCAACCACCACGCAGAGAAAACTAAATTAAATGTTAAATAAGAACAACAAGTCCATTAGAGAAATAGCCATTTCACTCGTATATTTTCGTACAAATTGACCAACGCAACGCAAAGTAAGCGCACGCATCCGCGTTGAAAATACATTGTCCTACGTGAATATGCCAACACAATAATATCAAGGGTGAATCAGATAACAAACGTACAATCGTAATGTTGCATAATTTATTAATAAGTTGTTTGTTTTAGTTCACAGTGATAAAACTGTCTAGTACACTTTGTTATATGTTTATTATTAGTCATAATTACACAATAATAATGCTGGCTTTCGTTATTTGTAAGTCATATTATAATTATAATAACAAATGTTATGACAAACATATTAAAAATATTTTTAAGAGATGTTGTTATTTAAAAATAATTTTAATATCCAAACGGAGGACGTACTTAAAATTTAAAACTCTGTTTTTTATTATTGATCGCACTGAGAATAAAAACATGGAATATATTTATTTACACAGTATGAAATGAAGTTGCCGTCGCTGTCTTTTCGCTTATGTCTTAAATTACATAACACATTTTAATTGAGTTTTCAGCAATAGATAGAGTGATTCAAGAGCATATATGTCTGCCTTATACATGCTTGTTACAGTCTATAACAGAAGCCAAGAAATTCAAAGATTTGTGATGTATCAGTGCAAAGCCAGGATCGCTATTGATGGTAGAGTCTGTACTGGTGTAACAGTACCTATTATATGACTTATTAGCTGTAACTCACAACTTCAGCTGTTTTTTAATTGATAAGGACTGGCCTTCGTCCGTCTTGTTCATAATCCATATCTATATGGATCACAAAATACTTAAACATCATAACAACCATTTATCACCCCATTACGAGAAAGTGATCTCTTCATTTATGAAGAGAAGTAAACCCACTATTACAAAGCACAATGACGTATTTGCGCTTTGTGTCCTTTATCGATT